GAGCTCCAAATCCCGTTTCGTATCCAGCTTCATAATCGGTCCTTTCCCTTTTCAAGGTCTGGGTATCCGCGTCATGGACAAACCTTTAGCCCCAGTTTCCTTAGCAGAAATACCGCCGACTCTTACTGCACTGCAGATTGCAAGACTTGAATCAACGTTGGAGCATCGTATTCAAGTGTCCGAGCGTTTACCCGGCTGCGGACGTTGCGCACCGCGTGTAATTAAAGCCATGTGCACGCAATTTTGGACGCTCCTCGCCGGACGGCGCACGCTCGTTGCCGCGGAACTGCACATGTGGTTTTGGCATGCCCCAGCCGCCGGCGCATGTCGTCGCAGACTTCGAGACCCTCGTCGCCTCCCGCCCGGTACGCGTCTCCACGTTGACGCTCGTATGGCCACGGTGGAGCATCGAACAGCACGAGCCCATCGGCCACTTCGGTACGCCATCGTTAATTTACCTGATATCTATTGATCAACTAGACGTAGACGTCGATGTCTTCGTGTGTCCGAAAGCACGGCTTTTCATAGCCCATTCGCCCATATGCATGGGGCGTTGCCTCCAGATGCAAGTGTCGGGCCTTAGTTGGTGAGTTTGACCAGAACTGGCTGCGCTGATCATATCGCCGCAGGTACAACCTACAGGACATCAACGCCGTTTTATTCCATTACATACCTTTTAGTGAGACATTATGCGGTTCCCACTCGAGCTCGCCATACGAGCCACGGCTCAAGTATTTCTTACTCCACTGCCTGGCCGCCATGGAATGCTCTCAATTCTTCCTCGCAGATGTCCTGACAATGATGTCAAATGTCCGAGTCAGCGTCCTCTCAACTGGGGTATAATCAAGATTTAACGTTCGTCCATATTTGATCATGTCGGGCTCTGTCACTAATGCCATTCTAAGGCTAGAAGCATGTGCGACCTGCGCGCGCGGATCGATGCAGATTCAGAGGTGGCACGGACGGGCTCGTCCGGGATCTCCTTGTGAGGCTCAACCAACTCGTTTGCGGCGGTAGTAGGGAGTGCCCTTGTCAGATGGGTACGACGGTAATTAAACTGATATTCTTTACAGCTTGGTCATGGGCGCCGATGTTGCGCGGGCACTGAGATACGACGGGGAGGTGTGGACTGCGTTCGAAAGGTGGATGATCAATCTCACTGCAATAGCGGCCATGGGGACACAAACCCGTGCTATTCGCAACAACCGAGCAGCGCTACCGACGACGTTGTATGCCGGGACTTGGCGCATCACGCGGCGGATCTGTGCATCAGTTCCGAACGGATCGCGATCCCAATGCAAACACGTTCCCTGCACGTTGCAAAGGCATTTTCACCCCTCCCCTCACCGCATGACCCAGGAAAGCCCTTCCCCAGCCTTAGTCTGCCACTCGCTCTTCAATGACTCCGCCGCGGACACCGTCCTCCGCTCGGCCGAGGGTACGCTCTTCCGCATCCCGCGCTTCGTCCTACGCGACACGACGGGGTACTTCGCCGCGACGCTCGCCGCACCACCGGATCCCCCCGATGCCGAGCCCGTCCCGCTAGAGGAGACTGCCGCGGTCCTCGCACGGGCTTTGTGCCTCCTCTCGGGGCTGCCTCCACCGGATCCCCAGGCCGCGACCTGGGACTTCGCGACGGCTGAGGCACTCCTGGCCCTAGCTGAGCGCTGGGCTGCACCGGGGCTTGCTTCCCGTGTGCGCGACGCCGCTGGGGGCCCGCCATTCGTCGCAGATCCGCTGCGCCTCTACTCACTCGCCATGCGCGCGGGGTGGGATGCAGAGGCGCGTGTGGCGGCGCGCGGGACGCTCGCGCTCGCGCTGTTTGACGAGGGGCACGCCACTGTGCTGCGCGGCATGCCGGCGCATGCGCTGCTGGAACTGCTTGCTCTGCATCGCCGGCGGCGCGACGAGCTAGATGCGTTGCTCGGGCCCGGTGGCGTGGGTGTGGGGCCCGGTCTCGACGAGATGGTATCTGGGCGATGTGCGGCGTGTGGCCTGCAGGGGGACACGCATCTCTGGCGAGAGTACCGGGCACGGGTGAGTGCGGGGATCAAATCTTGCTTCGAGATACCTGCTAATCGACGCCGGTAGATATTTATGGAGATGGACATCCGGCCGCTGGGAGACACGGTGATTGGGTTTGCCGTAGACGAGTGGCCGCAGGCGCTCGCGTGCTGGAACGCAAAATGCGCAGGGGCCGAGTGCGGGAAGCCGCTCTACGAGCGGGAGAGCATTCTCTCGCAGATCAAAGCGTGTATCGATAAATTGCCTGATACAATCTAATGCACACCTGTGCTCCTGAAACGAAGGTCCACGTTATTTCAGGAAATTAAACCGCTTGGAGCCGAACATTCGTGGCGAGACATTGAAAACGAAATGAGACCTCGCACAAACGTAGGAACGCCGGATGGCAGGTTGTCAGATGCAATATAGACCGGGTGTAGTCAGCTCAAGACAGAATGATATTAATTACAGCCAAACGCATAAGAGGTGACTCGGAGACGGACAGCTCGCGTCCGTGGTTGGACACGTGGAAGATACCGAAGATGTGCACCCCGGATTCGTCGCTCGAGTCTATATACCAGTAGGTTGCAGCTGGTTGCCGAAAATGAGAAGCTGGAGGCAAACAGAGTTGCAGAACACGCGGGTCGGGTTTACTTGCAATCAGTGAGTCACCTTCAAGTTCGGCGTGCGAGGGAGTAAAGGACTTACAAGAATTACCAGTCCGGGAACAATGGGCGAATTAGCTGGCATGACGATCTCGGGCTCGAGATAGATACTGAGTGTGGTAAAGATCCACTTTACGTCAATTCGGGGCCTTGGAGATGGTGGGAAGAGGCTAGAACTAGATTCCAGCGTGCTCACAGCGATAAAATGTGGTTTGTTTTTCTCGGAATAAAGTGTGTCCCCTAAGCAATGGGCGAGTAACAGGTAGGTGGGGAAGATAGAGCTGGCTGGAATGTCGATTTGCCTTGGTGGCTACCACAAGAGCAACAAATGTGACGAACTGATAACAGCCAAGTCCCTAGTGCTCACGTGATTGGCGTACCCTTTTTCCTTAACCGCATTGGGCTGGACCCCAGATGCTAATCGACTTTGCGGCGAGGCTCGAAGTAACTCTGGGAGATACAACTTACTGCGAGGGCTCAAAATCAAACTTTGGACGGGGTCTTACACAGGCACGACTCGGAACCGGTCCCGCCTGGGCCCTGACGATTTCAAGGGCGGCTTTCCGTGCATCCAGTCGTTTGGTGCTCCCCTTCCATCCTAGGCCTGGTGGTATTTGCCACCTCGCCTGGCGATCAGATGTGGCGGCGACGCTAAGCGAACGGTTGCACACCGCCCTCATGTCGGCATCCAGCGAACACTCATAAGGAATCTACCCTTTTGGGACCCTCCTTTTTATCCCTCGCTGCTCACTGTGCGAGACGCTAGCACGGAACCTGGCCAAAGTTGGACACTTACTTGGACTGAAGCGCTTTTACTGACCGACTTTTCGCAGCTCTCTCTGCGGGCGGCACTCCCCTCGGCGTCGACAGTCTTGGGGACTCTGCGCAATCACTGGCTATCTTTCTCCCAGAAAGACCGCCGCAGCGGTCGCGACACGGACGCAAGCTGCCCGACGGGCACATTCCACGCCCGCCAAACGCGTTTATCCTCTTCCGCTCGTCGTTCATCCGCAGTCGTCGCGTGTCGTCTGAGGTCGAAACGAGTCACAGCACGCTCTCCAAGATCATCGGCCTCACTTGGAAGAACCTCCCCGCGGAAGAACGCCGGGGCTGGCACGTCGCGCCGAAAGTATCACCATATGAAAGCCCTGCTTAAGGGCTTTCGAACGGTACTAAACTTTGTGCGATTTGAGTGAGAATTGGTTGAGTTCTGGGGCGGGGAAATCCGCATCCTGATTTTCTTCTTCTCTTTCCCAAAAAAGCACAGTCTCATGAATTATGCAAACAGCTGTAACAGCGTGGCGACATCAAATCCTGAAATGTCTGCGACTCTGCGGCAGTCGAGACTTGAGTGTTCCCAAGAATTGGGTTTGCGATTTGTTTGCGATGCCCTGTGCCTCGGCGGGTAGTGGAGTGGCCGCCAAAAAATGCCACAGGGTGTAATTTGTGTCCATAGTTGCCTTGATGTATGGACTGCAAACTTCTGAGCAACTTCTGAGTGCCGGGACATAGCGGGAGGCCCGCGCGATCACGTGAACACGTGATATTCCCTTATGGGGATGCTTACGTGGTTGGTTGACTTTCCGCTAAATTGAAAAAGCGGGTCCGGTTCCGTTATTCACAAAAGTGCAGCCCCCTGCATACAAGCCTCTATTATGCAAGTGGCCAGCTACCTAGTGTGGCCAGGTACCCAGTCGCAGATAATACATTGGGTGCTTAATAACAGCTTGGAGCACCATTGATTGCAGTGCTGGTGTCAGAATGTGTGTGCACTACCGCTTCCCCACATAACCGGTTATGTGGGGGAGTGGTAGTGCGCATCACATTCTGACAAAACATCTGATCCTAGGCAGGCTTTATGCCAGACTCAGACCTTCACTTGTTCCTCAGGCCTAAGTCCGGTCCTGAGTGGCCGGTCATTGGTCGTATATTTTGTGTCGCACCCAGGGTTGAACCCCCACCATGTAAGGTGATCTGATTACATAAACCCCCTAGGATCAGATGTTTTGTCAGAATGTGTGCGCACTACCGCTTCCCCACATAACCGGTGAATGTGTGCGCACACATTCTGACAGCTGGTAACCATGTCCAGCTGCCTTAAAATAGGTTCGAGTTCCAAGTTTGCAGCCGGGAGCCTTCCGCACGCCATTTGCCTCCACGGCAGTTGCCCGGTATCACCGACGCGCACCTGGGTCATGTGAGAAATATATCATAATTTAAAACACCCGAGATGGTAAACAGAAAAACAGAGTACTGCACGGTGTCACGTCCGCACTATGAAAATATAGGAAGCTTTATTTACATAAATAAAACATGTCGCATCTTGGCTAATTCCAGAACGGGGAGTCGAACCCCGGGCTGCCGCACACCCTCAATTCCATTGAATGAGATATGAGAGGCGGATAGGTTACCCTACACCATTCCGGAAGTACTATATCAACTCTAAAGGACACATTTTAGTGTGTGACCGGCGCTAAGGAAATTGACCATTAAGCACGCAACTGCCCGCTAAAGTTGTGCACATCAAATTATGGCATTGCGTGTCTCCAGAGGCTCGGCTCCGACGCCATACGGCGTGCACTTCAGCGTCGGACATCGCGGCTCAGCATTCTGGTAAGCTTCTCACGCCAGCCTGAGTAGGACACGGATGGCCAGACTTTAAAGTTACGGTAAAGCCGGTTGTGAGGTTTAATCGGCAGCTCATCGCAGACCTTGGAGTACATCAAAGTAATTGATAGCGGCTAATGGCCGGTACAAGTCCGAGAGATCGCCGGCTGTGTGGTCATCATGATCCACAGCCTCCGCGCCAGGGAAACCAAAAGCATCGGGATGCCACTGTAAGCTTTGGAGTCCAAAAATTCGATATACACGGAGCTTCAAAGCTCGGGGGTTGGCAAGTGCCCCAATCTGGGATGATTCGGAGATCTGACGGTACGGTATTTAGCGTAGGTCCAGCGCAGAACCACAAAACCTATGAACTCACTCTGATATCGCCGTAGAGAGATAGCGGCGGCAAAGCCGCCAATACCTGCGTCGACGATAGATACTGTACGTTGAAACTTCAAAGGTCGCACTTTAGGATGAGACATTGTGATGTACTGTGCTCCGCCTGCGACGCGTTTTTCAGTGGCTCAAAACAAAGTCGTGTGAGAAGATCCGGTCAGACATCTGCCCGTATATCCGGATCCGGTATCAACCGCAATGACTCGCTTGGAATCGGGAAAACGGCCGAGTATTTTATTCCAAGCCAGATCAGCAGATCCAAACAGTGGTGAACCGGACGCTGGAGTCCAGCGGCGTTCAAAATGATGTACATGCTTTCAGTAGTCTTCTTGTATGAAATGTAACAGATTTCAGGGCCTCAGGCTGAGACGCGGCAACGCACATTCAGTGATGTGCACCGAGCCTCGACATTCCCAAACCTTCTCGACCACGAGTCCTGCACTCTCGATAACGTGGGTCATTTCGGGCACTGTCCGCTCGGTGCCGTTACTAGCGAAGGAAAAGGTTCATTTCTTGGTAAGTACTTGAGCTTACGGACCCACTTACATCAGATTCATCATGTTCAAGTCGCGGCAATGGGTAAAGCGCTGTGTTTGGCCGTAATTGGGGAGGAGTGGTTTGGGGGCGATAGAAAGAGTGGATGCTGCGTGCGTGGGGAGCCACGCGGGAATCAGGAGCGATTCTACGATGAGCACCTTCGATTTTTCTGTCATTGACGCTTGGTTGGGCCATTGTTAGTTGGTTGAATCTTCGAAGAGGTCCAATCCTATTTACCCTTGATTGCGGACAGAATCTTGACACAGGCATCGTCGTTCCAGTCGTGCATGATATACCGCAGCATATAAACCTCTGCACCGCGGACTTGATTCCGCTGGAAAAAATCAGCTACCTGGAATACAGCACGTTGATCTTCAATGGCGGTCGGATAGTTGGTTTTCCAGTGATTCTCCGCTTGCGCGATGACTGATTCGCGGTCCTGAATGACAACGGAGAGATCTCCGTATTTCTTTAACAATGGAAGACTCAGTGAGCCTACAGTCATGAGGTTAGTTCGAAGTCGAATTCAAAAGTAGTTGAACATATTGAACACCCACCGATCCCTCCACCAACATCCATAACGGTAGCAGCCCCCAACTTGCCCCAAGGGTAGTCGTTGAGCAGTGCCCAAAGATTGGTCTGGGCGCTTCCGGCCATTGCCGCAGCAAACATGTCATGACGTTCAGAGTTCTCGTCATTGTAGTCCCAGTACGTTTTGCCTTCGGGATTGTATATCTTCTCTCGGGTAAATGCCGCCCGCTCAAGCGCAAGGGAGTCGTCCTTAAAGGCCTCGATTAAGTGCTGCGAAGACGCGTACCATTCCCCGCCGCTGAGTATAGCGTCAGTCAACTCTTGAGAAAGATGGCTGCACACAAGCATACTAAAGATCGATGTAGTTGGCCAAGGCGCGGTTGTTGATTAAGGCGGCGCTCGTGCGATTGTTAGAGAATGCTTCGGGGCCTGTTTGGTTGAAAATGTGGCCCGTCGCGAGGAGCCTCATGATTCGGGCTGCACTTCAGGTTATATCGAATGCGGCCAATACAGAGGGTATTCGCACCGCATTTATTCTTCTCATATCCGCATTTCTGCGATAATTCCTCAGCTGTGAGGCCGTCCGACTTGCCTTCGAGCCACGCTTGATGAAGGATATCAGGTATGCGCGCGGCAGATGCCGCATGCATTGCCCGGCTCTCGAAATACTGGTTCCAAGTCAGTGAAGCAGCAAAGAATTACTTGCAGAATTACCTGCGCGGCGCAAGCCATCAGCTGATCGCGAGGATCTCTTTGAAAGAGATGTTGGCCTCGCAGATTGAAGAGTAATGATTTTGCTTACCTGAGAAGTGCCTGAAGCATGTCTGCGGCGCCGAGAGCGCGCTTTGTGGCGTCGTACAGTCGTGGAGTGGGTAGATAATCCTCCCTGATTGAAGAAAAGGGATCCTGCAGACTCGCAGGGAACCCATGAGCTTTCCATTCCTCAGAAACGGCGTCAATCGCGAGATTGAGGACTTCTTTCAGACCCAGAAGGGTATCGAGCGCAGTGGTAGAAGGCATGCGAGATGCAATTTGGTCAGTGCCGGTGATTCCAAGGTGATTCCCATGTTTCATCCATGTGTCCCCGCTCTCCGCCGTCACATCGGTTTTTATTACCCCACCGCGATCAAGATGATCGAGGATGACCACTCCAGGGTGCCTGGTGAACATGATGCTCGCTTTGTCCTGGGAATTCTCCTCCACTTCGCGTACATCAAAGAATATGAGGTTTTTTTCTTCTTTCATTTCTTGTGATTAAAAGACGCTCGCCTGACGACTATCAGGTCTATACGCCAGGGAAAGGGGGTTTCAAGCAAAAAGCGCACAGACTTTACTTGCTCCCACCGTCCATCGACAGCGATCCCCTACTCTGTTTACAGAGAAGGGTTCTGTGAACACGAAACGCACCACCGTCCGCCAAACGCATTCCCTATCACGTGATGATTTATAAATAATCGATGATCACCGAGTTATGAGACTGATTAAAGTGGGGCCGGGGAGATCCGGCTACAGGGCACTAAAATGTGCATAACCAAGCATCTCACACAGTGTGCATGTCAATGACTAGGTATGTAGTATGTGGAGGTAGCAGTATAGCAATAAAATAGGCATGGCAGAACTCAACTGCAGTAGTCACGGGCATGTAACAGCATGTGTAGTGGGGCCGGATTTCTGCACTTCGTCTCCATTTAGCCCAAATTCCGAACACCCCGAGATAGACGGCATTGACGGTGCATGGTGTTCCCGCGCGGACGTCCGGGCTGTGCTTGATCCGTGTATCACACTGTTGGGCATCACATTGCATAGCTAGATTGCGACGTGCCGCCGTGCCGTTTTCGGGCTCATCGGTGCGTATTCAGAGTGCTACAAGTAAGCAATAAAACATGTATTAGGGTATATTTAGTCAATGAAAAGTCACGTTCGCCGCTATATATCTAAATCACGGCGCTTTTCATCGCGGTCGAGAAGCCCGCATGCGCGCCATTCTGGACTGTTCTGGACCTTCTGATGGTCCAGACCCCATTCGGCTTCGCTTGCGGCGGGTTATAAGGTCCGGACCCCTCGGAACGGGTAGGCGCCCCAAAAGGTTACCTCCGCGGTCCGGAGTCCGAACTGTCAAACGGGTTCCCTATTGTCATAAACTTACTGTATCCCATTTGCCGGGGGGATTTTGCCGCGTTCGGACATCCCCGAAACTGCAACCCGAAGGCTGCCGAACAAAGCGGCCCGATGTCCCACTTGATTTGATCATGTGGATTGTGCGATCCGCTAGGGCGTCGGCCGACATAGGAAAAATCATCAACTATTACTCGTAGTGCAAAGTCAAAGTCAAAAAAAAAAAAAAAAGGTGCCATAGATAAGACGTAGCGCTATCGTAGATACAGGTACATGCGCCCCGCCAGGCTGCAACATGATCCGCGTTCCACCCAAATCCACTGCCAGTGATTGAAGCGGGTTCCCGGTGTATTGCTTTATCTGCTATAAAATACAAAACAAATTAGTACCAAATAGAGTAGGGGACTGGCGCTTGCGCCGCTACCGATAAGGCCATGCAGAACTGGAGGGCCCACCTTATGTCGCCTACGTTTTCTTTCGACGTCGGCCTCAGGACCGCAACCCCATATCGGCCGGTTAACAAGTCCGGCATCTTCAAACCCATCGAGTGCTCCGAGTGCTACGGAGTTGATCATTATCAGACAGATTGCCCGGTCAAAACCTTACCCGGCTACCTTGCCGTGCACGCATCCTCGGCGACAAACGATGAGCCAATCGCGACAGTGGGAACGACCATCTCCTCCATTCACGCACCTCAGGCAACTGCGCTAACGCCCGGTTTTCGAAACAATCGCGGTCGCATGCCATTCCGCGGAGATAGAACCGCATTTCGTGGACGTCCACGCGGCTTCCTACCTTACCCGCGCTTCTGAAATGAGCTGACAAATGACCGTGCTCCGTGTACAAATATAGGCCTTCGAAACAGACAATGCGCGAAACAGCTTAGTACATGATTCCTGTACAGTACGAAAAGGCGTTGGACCTTGTAGTGTACTAAGGCTGTAAAAACTTGTAAAATTCCATTATTTGTTTAAAAAAAACTTAGTTGTGCACTCCGATCCTCCTCCCACATCTCCGCCCGCTGCGCATGTGCAGCCCCCCGAAGACGAAACAGCTTACCTGGACCACCCACACCACATCCTGCGGCTGCTCCGTGCGCTCATGCTCAACGCTCTCGACATCATCAATGTCTTCCTGGCTGTGCACACGCCCACTGCCCCTGGCGCAAGGGTGCACCGGCATTCAAACCGGCGACTAAGGGCTGGTAGGTAGGTCCGGCCACGAGGCCGGAAAAAAAAAAT